GGCTTAATAAGTAAATAAATATTCTTTAAATTGTATGTAAATAAGTACGTACGCGTACCTAGGTATGGCATAAAATAATATTGTTAGAAATAATTCGATTTTTGTAGGTATTTAAAGATTTTGTTACTTAATATTAACGTATTATCATATCAACATATTCAAATCATGTTTTTACAATGGCATTTCAATTGTAGTCAGCTGTTCTTTCGCCCCGCTTGCGGCCGCCCAGGTTACATGAATGAATTTGTGAAGTCGTAGTAACGTAACTAGCAATAGAGTTGTGACGCAGTGGTTGTTTCGGACAATCACTATTTATACAAACATAATTAAACTTATATCAACATTAAAAGTCACTTATTTTTATTTGATATTTTGCACACAGGGTCTAAATCAAGTGTACATTTGGGTCCTTTAATATGACCACACCTTTCTGTTACACCCGGTATAGTTATTAGTTGTTGTCGATAGTTTTATCGATAGATTGTGAAAGAAGATAAAATTTTGCCAAGAAATTATTTATTACATAAAATTACACAGCATTACAACAAAATATCAAGGCCCTGTGAAATTCATAAATGTTTACTAATTATAATGATTACTGTATGGCGTATACGCGATTGCGTCATAGCCTTCTTTATTCTTATTTTGACAATTGGCCTACAGTATCGAGATGATTTTTTATGCATATACATTTTAACAAGAATAGCTGGATTTGATTATCTTATTGAATTAAAATGAAACACTTTAAAATATCAACTGTGAATTGACAACCGGTACTATCTCAATTTTGTCAATTTTACAGGATGAAAAATAAACTTATATAGCATCTGGTATTAAATAAAAATACGTAGTGTACATACATACATGTGTAATAAAAATATTTAAAAGAAATACGTATTTTTATTTAATATACCGAATGCTATACAAATGACGCAAAAAATTTTTTTCTTTGTCCTGTAAAGTTGTCAAAATTGAGTTTAGTACCGATTGCCAGTTCACATTCGACATGTCTCCTCTTCATATTTTTCATAAACATAGCTCTAAATACAATACATCACATTATAATATGTATGTATGAACTTACAAAGAATTGATAATTCACATGAACTTTTGCTCACAATAATGGGTCGAGGATGATTCAAATAAAACAAATTCAGCTATTTATTTCTGCGTGACCAACATTCAGTCGATAGTCGATAGGATATTTATCGACTGCAATCACCAGTTATTATTTCCGCCATTAGGTGGCCGTTAGGAGTTCTTCTTGAGTTATTGGTCCATGGTTATAAGAAAGAGGCCAGTACTGTTGTTTTAATCGGGCAGAACCTACACGCGAGGTTTCAGGTCACCTTAGGTACATAACGTAATTTTAATTTTCAGGTTGTCCTCATGCTAGCTGGTGATCTTGACTCGAGTGTCGAAGGCGACCGCGCGGTTCTAGAACGACTCCTAGAATTATTGGTCTCCGAACTTGACATTCAACCCCCCGCAGACTCACTAACAGAGCAACCTCATGAAGATAAGCAGGAACTTCAACAAGCTATTGCGAAGCTGGAGACTCTTGTGTCAGATATGGATACACAAGACGATTTGTCACCACCTGTGCATGAGCGCACTAACAGGCGTGAACTTCAGCTGGTTATCATGAGATTGTTAAGTAAGTGATATCCAAAATTAACCAGTATACGCCGGAATCCACCGAAGGGCGCCGGAGTCTACCTGAATGTGTCGGGAAATTTTCGACTACGTATAGTCGCTAGTAGAGCGGAATTAAATCCGAGCGACCCTTGGCATATCGGTGGATGCCGTGGAGTGTATGTATTGTAGCGTACACTGGCTTTTCGTTACATTGGCGGGCGCTCGCGGTTTAGTAAGGGATGTCCCTCGTCGTGTGCGCTGGCGGGCATAAGATCCTCTTTGATGCTCGCCCTCCCCGTACGTCTGTTTGTGCCTATTTGGTCCTAATAATTCATGTAAATGCTATAGGTATTGCTGCGTTTGTCAATGTTTTGTGGCATTTAACCAGAGTTTTATTAAACTTTGTAAAAATACATAGGTGTCCTCATGGCCCGATGGAAGACAGCAGCCAGCGGCGGCCCCGCCACTCGCGCCGAGGTGTCGGGCGCTGCGTGCGCCGCCCACGTGTCGCGCCTCGCCGCGGCCGCACTCGTCCGCGCCGGCGCACCGCAACACTGCTTCAGAATCCTATCCGCCCTTCTTCCATATTGGAAGGAGAAGACTTCTAGTAAGCGGCTATGTAAATCTCGTTCGTGTCAGTTGTCAACGATAAGCAGAATATTTGCTCAATTCCTAGCAAATTAAATTATATAAAATTAAAATGGAAACGAAATTAAAGTCGTGTCAATTACTTCGATCTTAAGGAAAATAAAAGAATCCACTTTTTTTAAGACGCTGGAAGTACTCCACCTGGTCAACAGTTGCTGAAACCACAGCCGCCACTACCTCTACCTGATATGCAACCGTTCTTTGTCAAAGAGTATGTTAAAAGTAAGTACTCTGTTTGTTCTGTTTTTAGAGTTCCTCCGGCAAAATCGATGTTGACGATTTTATACAAATTACTACCTCGCAGTTAAGATGAGACTCGGTGGAAATCTATGAATAATAAAAAAAATTTTAAATGCAGGTCACGCCTTAGACGTGTTCGACAACTACCCACAACTACTAATGGAGATGGCTTTACGCCTGCCCTGTCAAATTCACAAACACTGCGATCCTGCGCACTTCGATGCGCGCTGGCGCACTTTGCTCTGCGAGTATATGATGAATCCACAGACTCCTCTAAGGTGAGTTTTCCCTTGTAACATACGTAGGACACGTTAGATCTATGAGTTACTTAGACTGGTGGTAACATAGTTTCTTAAGTTGAGGTAAATATAACTACTTACGTTGTTCGTACAGAAAACAAGTCCGTAAACTACTGTTACTTTTGTGCGGAACCCGCGAGCGGTACCGTCAACTTCGGGACGTACACGCTCTCGATACGCACCTGAACGCAGCACGTGCACTGTTGGCCACCGATCCCGCGTATGACAAGCTTGTTCAGCTCATGGAACACCTCAAGGTATTGTTATTATTCATTTTAATTGAGTAAAGATTAACTACATGCATCACCACGCCAAGGTCCTATCATAATGTAAATTAATTGTACGACATTCTTTTGTATCACAACAGCATTTGATCGGGTGTCAGTTCTTCAAACTTCATTCTACTTCGTAGGACTTATTATCATTGATCTAATACATCATCGACCTCATATCGATCCTCTATATCTGAATTAAATAGATCCTATAATCCCTAAGATGGGATCTCTTTGTACACACCCTTACAGCCTTTCTTCTGTCACCTCTATATATACCTTCAGTACAAGTGGGTGGTTAATTCTAACTAGTTACTGCTTCATAAGACTATCTTCAGGCCGTTATGACAACAAATACTGTAACAAGTTAGTAATAAACATTGAGCAAACTTACCAACTGCTATGTCGATCAATCAGTATACTATCAGCAGACTCCTGACTATATCTTTCTAATTTGTGAGTTAAATCAACTATTGTTCCTATTAGAAATGTCAAAAGTTTCCGATCGGCCAGTTGTGAATCGCAGTTATGCGCCTCGATTCGGAAAAGACGTAGTTTCCGATCGGGAGAGGTAATCAGAATCAAGCTGCTGATATCACATTTAGAATGTATGACGCCAGAGCTTTCTGTGGTGACAATGCGTTTCTATTACTACGGATATTTACGTACGCAGGCGTGCGCAGAGATAGTGAGTGCGCGCACGGGCAACTGGCAGCACACATGCGTGTCGGAGAGACGTGAAGCACTGGCGTGGCTGGCGTGCGTGGCCCGCCGCGTGCACCCGCACGTTGCACCCACTGTGCTGCAGCTACTGCAGTGCGCGCTCTGCGCCCCCGCCTCACCCAACCAGCACGCCCCGCAAAACAACGCCCGTCAGGAAAGCAAAGTAACAGCGGTTATAATTATTTCTTAGTTGTATTTCTTATTCTTTTCTTATACTATCAAGTGACGGTACGAACAAGTCGTGCGTCTGATGGTTAGCCTGTCCATAACAGTTGCAGTGCCACTCAGAGTTCTAAAGCGCCCGCCCGTCACAAGTTGACAAGTCCCATGTGCCTGTAATTTCACCAGCACTTAACCTTCAAAACTGGAACGCAGTAATGTTGACATTACTGCTTGGCGGCAGAAATAAGTGAGATGGCAGTACTACCCTGAACAAACTCTTTCTCAAGAAGCTCTATTGCTACTAAATTATTCGTGGTTTTTCAAAATAATATTAATAATTAAATCAACAGAGCTCATCGGATTGGCCGGAGCGTGAGCGTAGCGCCGATAGTGATGCCTACATATCTGACGGTTCCAAATTCCAAGAGCAAAGAGTACCACAACTGGTACAGCAGATTCTGAAACAGGTAAAAATCTATCAATAAACCTTTGCTTTAAAATTCCATGATTATTTCCAGATATCTAAACTAAGTTTCTTTTGCAGGTGTCACAAGATGAACTGAAATTGTTCGTAAAAGCTTTCCTTTTGGAAACCAATTCTACTTCCGTTCGTTGGCAAGCGCATGCCTTGCTCCTCGCTATTTATAAGTAAGTTATTCTGTATATATTATCTTTTTCGCATCTCTTGCGAATTTTCGCGTCTTTTAAATACTACTAGTACATATTTAATACACAATCACGTCATGATAAATTACGGCAAATTCATTCCTCTACCCCTTTGGCTTATTTTCAGCAACTCATCCCAAAGTGATCAGGCGTCTTTGGTCTCACTGCTATGGAGTATCTGGCCCACTCTACCGCAGTACGGCCGTAAAGCTGCACAGTTTGTTGACTTGCTCGGATACTTTACGTTGAAGACCCCTGACATAGACACTGAGGTAAACAGGTTTATTTCAACAACTTTATAAAATCTTCCTTATCAAATTATCTTGTACTGTGTGTTCCATGTTTTATCTTCTCTATCTATATATAATATGTTCATCTCATTATAAATTATTTGACAAATATGAACGTATTGAATAACTTAATTTACTTTAATGTCCTTATACCTAATTATTAGATGTTTTTTGTAGAAAAACGTGGGCAGTGCCGTAGATCTCCTTCGCAATCAGAACCAACTGCTTTCCTCCCACGGAAATGCTGCCCTATACGCCGCTCTCGGTGCCTTTGTTGAGCTGGACGGCTACTACTTGGAATCTGAGCCTTGCCTCGTGTGCAACAACCCTGAAGTACCAATGGCTACCATTAAGCTGCCTACTATAAAGGTTAGTTATTTTGCGCCTATTCTCGATTAATCATGACCATTGTCTGTAATTATTGATAGAGAGCGACAACTGCTGCGTCTCGCAGGCCAAGAGGCTGTGGAAACCGTGCCTACAAAATCCGTCTTGTTATAGTATCAAATATCACGACATGGATATGTAAAATTCGTATTATATCAAATGATCTAGCATTCTTACTGAGTCCTATAATTTTTGATAAACACGTTTTGTACGAACTTGTTTTAACAAAACAATTTCCTTGCAGATTGACTCCAAGTTCACAACAACAACACAAATAGTGAAACTGGTGAACAGTCACATGATCAGCCGCATCAGCTTGCGCATCGGCGATATCAAACGCAGCAAGATGGTGCGCACCATCAACTTCTACTACAACAACCGCACCGTGCAAGCTGTGCAAGAACTCAAGAATAGACCAGGTAGGTTTAGTGGTCTTTATGTGTAAGATGTAGAGTACCTAAACGTACCGTAGCCATTAACTACAATGTAACGTCTGAAAACTAGCTCACAACAACAGATGTTAACTGCAATATAAGATCAGAAAACTAATAAAACTGTAGTTCGGTCTGTTATACTTGCTATTGTCAGGATAAACCAACATTTAATTGATATAGCTGAGCCAGCTGAGACACCTTTTGCCTCCTATGCTGTTAATATTTAGGTAGTAACTTAAATGTAGTTGTTTTTATAGTTATTGTTTTGTTTATAGTAGGAGGCAATAAAAATAATTTTATATATTTATTATTGTTTATATATTTTATCAGGAATGTGGCACAAGGCGAAACGCGTTCAGCTCCAGTCTGGTCAATCAGAGGTTCGCGTTGACTTCCCTCTACCGATTGTGGCTTGCAACTTGATGATGGAATACGCAGACTTCTACGAAAACCAGCAAGCTACCGGTAAGACTTATCCAGATGTGTAGACAGGCATTTAAGTGATTTATTTCGTCTTGACTGATTATGATCCTATAGCGATTTTTTTTTGTCACTAGCCAAATTTTAATATTATGATCGTTGATGAAATTATAACATACGTCTTTTTATATAACATAATTTAGTATCACCCAGTACTAAAATGTTGAAATATGGCCTCACAAACTTATCTAAAAAACCCACGTTTTTAGACGTACTGCAGGAAACAAACTCCGGCCGATCCAATTGTAACATTCCCTCTCTCCTCAGCTTCGCCCATCGCCCTCCCGCCATTCTATCGTACTCAAGGTCAGTGCGGCGACGGATCAGTGGCGCGTGCTATTATGCTTATTAAAAACTTAATAACCTTTATCATAACATAACACCCACGACTGTTTAACAAAACAAATACATATAACATCTGCATTACGTATTTGTTTTTCACGACCTATGAAGGCATTAAAATAACCAATTCGACTTATTTTGGTTTCTATACCACAGCAATTAGAACTTATTTTCGACCCTTGAGACACGCGAGACGAAGGTACAATTTGACGACCTCGGCGGCCCAACGGTTAGTACTGTGCTAGATGAGGAGGTCCCGGATTCGATTCTCGATAGGACTAATTTGAGAAACATGAGACCAGATGATTGGTGTGGTTGTATGGTACATTATTACTATCTGGCCTACATCCGTGTCGCGCTTCCGTCAGTCAATTCGAAAAGGTTTTCATATTCACCGCCATTCGTCTAATAACCTATGATGCCTTTGACCTGTGTTGACCCCGCGCTCCAGCTGACATTGCGCGGGCTTATCGGTTTCTTATTTTGATTTCGCGCAATTCAGTAGTAAGTAATCCTGCACTGCCCGCCACAGCATACCGTTGTTGATAGGTCAAAGTCAAAGTATTTATTGCTTCCAGGTGTTACAATATGCACCTAAAATTAAAGTAGTATCAACATGACCCTGTTAGGGCGCCGCAATTACACACTAATTAAAATTTAAAAAATAAAAGAACATAATAATAGAGTAATTTTAAATAAAAGCTAATCAAATAAACAATAATAATGATGATGACAATGATAATAGTGATAATAATGATAATAATAATGCCGCCTTTCCTATTTAAAAATTCAAAATTAATCTTTTAGGCCTTGGGAGAGGCGAGAATCCAAAATAGATATAATAAAATAATAATAATAATGATAAGAAACATACGTTGCAAATTTTCCCTTCATACTTTGACGAGCTTAACAGGACAGGGCAGGGACAGGCTTGTGCTTTTCTTTTAGAATATAATCCGTTACAAACCGAGTATAAGTTAAGGATGGACAAGTTACCTGGTTTTGAGCATGTGAAGGTGTGATATATAGGGCATGGCCTAGCCGTATAAGTCAAGGATGGACAAGTTATCTGGTTTTGAGCATGCGAAGATGTCATAAATTGGGCATAGCCTAGCCGTTGCATGACGTTTAAAATCGTTTGAAAATTGGGTGTCCGTACGTTTTCGACTCCCAGATTGCGAAGGCGTGGAACACTTTCTACTCGGTACAGTCTCTGGGCTCCCCGTAGACTTCACCACTTAAAAATAACTCATTATCATTTCGTAGCACTCGCGGTTTGAGTAGGTACATTGAACAAACACGTGAGACTGAAGTAGAGGGAGAGGAAGTGCGAGCGTGACGTCTATTTGAGATGAATGTGCGCTAGCGACTGAAAATGAACGCGGTTGTGTCGCGCGGGATTCCATTTTTTTTTTTTTCAAAAATGGGGCTTTGAATGATACCTAATGCGTAAAAAAATTTGGCTATTGATAAAAAAGTCACCCTGTATATAAATATGTTTTGTCTAGGTGAATCGCTTCAGTGTCCAAGATGCTCTCAATCAGTGCCTGCAAACCCAGGTGTTTGTGCTAATTGTGGCGAAAATGTTTTCCAATGCCACAAGTGCAGGTATGTAATATTTATTAGTTTCATATTTATTTAATCTTGCTTGTTCAATGTTTGTTATTTGTTTAGTATATAATTGTTTGTGTTTCTCTGATAAATAAATAAATAAACTATGTATCCGGCATCTCATTTCCAGGTTGACTATTTTTTCAACTAAGTAATTTGTACTTTTTATTCTAGGGCAATAAACTATGACGAAAAAGATCCCTTCCTCTGTCACGCTTGCGGATTTTGCAAATACGCGAAGTTCGATTACACTTTAACGGCAAGGCCTTGCTGCGCTGTAGATACCATCGAAAACGACGAAGAGAGGAAGAAAATGGTACAAACTATCGGAGCTCTGCTCGACAAAGCTGACAGGGTGTATAGGCAACTGGTGTCTAATAAACCTGTATTGGAGGTAAGTTCTAAGAAGTTTTCATGTGTAATAAAGAGATGTGTCGCAAAAGTCTACGTTTTAAATTTTGTTTTTTATATTAAAAAATAAATGCGCATTTGACCTTCATCTCACTTGGTGTTCCACCATGACGATGGAGTCGACGATGGAGCATGCACACCTAAATAATGCGTTGAAAAGGTAATCCATTTTCGCCTTAAGAAGGTCCGAGTTATACATATCAGGGAACAAGTCTGCTGGCATTTCTAGCTGGCAATTCTACTCCATAGCCGTTCGCCACATAAATGTGGAAGCGAAACGCCTCGTGCAAAACCTTTGTGTATCCACAACATAGAGGTGGAACTCCAGCCCACGTCTGGTCCCCCGATGATAGAAAGGGGAAGGCGGAATTAAATCGTGCAATTCCCTCGCACACTCCGTGATATATTCTGTAGAATACCGATAAGCAGGCAACTTTACGGGCGGTGTACTATTAATTCTGAGTCATCAATAAGCCTCTTGGTATGCTTTTCTGAATCCAAGGTCCACGGTATATTCTCAATTTAAACATTGAGCGACGACATAAGAAAATTACTTTGAGGTAATGTAAACGGATGTAAAGACCATGAACTACGCAGAGGACGTTCCTATGAACGTCGTTACAGTACGATGTGTAATGCTATCATTACACATCGTGCTGTAACCAAGGAAACGTAGAGGTGCCCCGTGTATGTCGCATATAAAACCTGGCGAAAAGTGCCGGTGTGGTAGGGCGGTACACCACAAGAGCTGTTTATGCATGCCGTAAAGCTACTTTCCAGTTGTTTGTTTGTCTTATCGAACAATCACGTACACGGTCTTGTTTTAACTAACGGTCATAAGTGCACTCTATTGCCGCCGTTTCCGGTGACGTTACTACCTTATCGATAGTGTACCTAAACAATAAGTTTACAAAACTAAACGCAGTGTTAGTAAGAAAAAAAAGGGTAATGTTGGTTCGTTTATTCGCCAAATCAATGATTTTGTCATCCGACATGCTGCCCTATAGGAGTATTTTATTGGTTTAGTAGTTAAAACATCCCATGTCATTACATTATTATCCGAGGTCAACCAGTAAGTAGGATAGTCTCTTGCCGCACTTTTGCTCGTCGACAGGTTGTCGCTCAGAGATTACGACTTTACAATAACGTAAACAAACTAGTCTCTATTTACACACTTACAAAACACGTCAAAATTAAGGTATAAAATTGGTTGCAGACTCTTACGTACGATTATACGTAGACTTCCCTCTCAACCCTCTTTTGATTATAAAACATCACTGCAAAGCATCTCTTTCTTTTTGTTTTTTGATTCTTTTAAATTTTTCAGTTATATCACGTTTAATGCGTGTTTTAAAATTTTTGTTCTTACTGCAACTTATGGTTTTTTCGTTCTTTTAATTTAATTTTTAAAATGTATTAAATGCTCTTTGATTTTTATTGTAATTTAATTTGTTATACAGGTTATATATATAATAATAGGCTAATTATTGTTTTTTACTTAAATTTTATTTTGTTTAAGTAGGAACTGTTACACCGTCCGTTTCACATTTTTGTTGACATTGTGCGTCGAGTAACTCCATCGAGTATATAACCAGAAATAGAGACAAAATAAGGGCCATGTATTCCTGGTAACACATTAGCGATACAGCTCTTATAAATATCAACTCCCGTTTGCACTGAAATATAGACAGGCCAACTACTGACGTATGTATACGTCTCCGTATATTCTAAAAATATTCTGTATTTATTATAATAAAGATAATATCTCTAGGTGATGTAGGAACAACAGCAAAACATCTAATTACAAAACAAACGGAATCACATTTCATGGGTAATTAAATATTAAATATGTAATTTTGCAATTTTCGTCCATTATAGCAAAGCTCAAGTTAACTGGTCGATTTGAAGTGAAACAGTTGACGACACACATTGACGACACCCGTCAATTGTTTTGAACTCGGGCTAGCCAATCGGAGCGCAATTGTCACAGTAATGATATGGCAGAACACTTTTCAAACAAATTAAATGACATTTCGTCTCTATTTCTGGTTATATACTCGATGAGTAACTCTAACCCCTGAAACACAGGTTACCACCTAGTTCATGGGTGGAATGTATCGCCACCTATTTAGACACTGTTGTACAAAACCTGTTTAATTATAATGTATGCTATGTAACATGTTCTATTTTTATGTACAATAAATTATTATTGTTATTATATTTTATAAACAAGTAATTAGGTTGATGCATTACCGATACATATTTCATGAGAAGCTCAACGTTGTTGAGAATAACAAGAAAAACAATGTTCGTCTGTGACTTTGTTTGTTTGTTTGTATAGGACGGTACTCACTAAAACTATTGTCCCACAGTCTCTACTCCACAAGATAAGCGAACATCGTCTGGAGGGCCGCGCCGGTGACGAGAACAGCAACGCGAGCAATACGTCATTCAGTGGAGCTCAGATCAACCGCGTCATTCAGACGCTGGCGCACAAGTACTGCGTAGATAGCAAGGGACACTTTGAAGACTTGTCTAAGATCATACAGAAGGTGCTTGCTTGCAGGTAAGGACGTCGTTTATGACTTGACTGGCAGTAACCTTATGATTGCATGGTTTAAACACGGAGGTTTCGATGAATGGAGAGTAGCTAATTCCCTCAACCTGGAAAGTCTAAAGTTAGGCCAACGAAAAACTATACGATGTTAAAATGATAAGCTTTCGCAGTTATGAGTAATTGAAATAAAACTATCAGATTTAATAAAAAAATAAATTTGTTACAGGAAAGAACTAGTGTCCTATGACAGATCTCAGAGTGAACAACTCAAGGGCGACGCTTTGCCGGTATACGCTGGTTTGGTGCAAAATTATGATGGAGATCTTACAAAAGGTAAGTTCTATGTTACTTCACTTTTTCAACCTGGAACCACCCTATGCTTAGTGTACGTCTCTTCCATGAGACGACGTTCCAATCTATCCAGTACTTTACACAACCCGTCGTTCCAAGTTTTCTTCTCCAGATCTTCTATCCATCCGGCTGGTTGCATGCCCACGTTTCTATGACCTGTCGGTGGTTTCTTAATTTATCTACATGTTTTTATAGGATTGTTTTTAGTATCCCTCTAATACTCAGATGCACTTTTTGTATTGAATATTTTCTCTATAGAGTGACTATGTTTGAAAAGTAGTAATTTATAATAAATTGTGCAGTAGAGTTACTTGTAAAAGAGTTCATCCAGTGAACTATTGCCACCATACCTATTACTGTTGCAATTATTGCGTTCCAGTGTTGAATGGTGCTGGTGAATAAGCACATTGGATTTGTAACTTTATGCTTATGGTGATTGGTCGCAGGTAGTTCCCCTCGGGTCTGTGCGTTTTAAACCTCTAAGTGGCACAGTAACTGTTATGTGTGGTTAGGCCTGTGACTTGTTCCCTGGCACACGAGTTATTCGTTCCGTCACTTCATAAAAAAATAATACGTAGACAAAGCCCGTCTCATTATGTTCTCTGTAAAGAATGAACAATCTAACACGAAGGATAAATGTTCTATTTTGTGTTCGCAGAGTCCGGCGGGGGTTGCTACGGGTGTGCTCTAGCCTGTGCCGAGCATTGTCTTACACTATTGAGGGCATTGGCCTCTCAGCCAGAACATCGAACACGGCTTTGTCGCTTCGGACTTGTGCAGGAATTAGTGCAGCACAATTTGCATCGTGGTACTCCACAGGTACATGTTAGTTTCTTTGATTTACATTTTATTTTCTAACTTGTTACACGTTTTTCTTGTTTGGATGGTTAGATTCATTTAATTAACAGTATTACAAATTTGCAGTATCGTATTATAAAGTGAAATTTATTGAAAAACGCGTAACAATTTTTTTATGTTTTTGAGGTTGGTTTTTATGTATAATCGATGTGATGATACAATTCAGAATATCTTTATAGTGCCAAGAAGAAGTGCGAGCTTTAATTTGCCTTGTAACTCGAGACAATCTGCCAGCTACGGAGCAACTATGCAACCTTCTGACACAACGTATTACGCTGTCTCTCATGGGACACGCTGCGTCTCAAGATCACAATAACTCCGTAAGTTTATAACGGTTACTATTACCTGTAGTTTGGCTTCACTACGGTATTGTGTCCATGACGTCAAGAACTAAGAGCTAGTAGTAAAGATGGCAGTTCTCTCTTACTCCCTTATACACCTACTTCCATTGAATATTTTTCTAGGTGCGTCCACTAGTTTTACTCCTCGGATCGCTAGTGAAAGTGCAAGACTCAGTCGAATGTTGGGAAGCGAGGTTACGATGCATCGTCAAGCTATGGGTGTGGTGCTGTCCGCAGCTGACCGAAGTGGCAGGCATAGCGCCGGCCGCTACCTCCATACTCAAAGCTGAGGCTTTAGCTGGAATACCAGGGATTAACTCTTCGTCGCCTAACTGTAAGTGTCGCAAACCTTAAATTGTAAAAGTTACTCTCTTATTGTTTGAAGTCATACATATTGTAGAACAAAATCTAGTTAAAAACAATATTATAAACTAGTATTACTGTACGGAAGTACAGTAATACTAGTAAGTAGTGTCTTCTTCCGATAGGCGACATTGAATCCATTTGTGAAAAATATGTGATCATTGTTATTGTTGATACAAAGGTTCGATTTAACTGTCTGTTGTTGCCATACCGGGGTCGCCGCTCACAACTACCTGAGCAACAGATCGAGGCAAGCTCTATAATAATAACATATAAATTCCAAAAGCTCAGTAACAAAAGTATGCCTACCGCTTAACAGAGTCGGTTCCTGGGGTAGATGCGCAGTGCAGGAGCACTGACAGTTTAAATAACAGTTATATCGCGGTTTACACGGGATAATTTCAACAAGATTTTTCTAACTATATTCAATAACAAGTTTATTGAAAAAAGTGCCAAATGGCTTGTCTATTCATTTATATTATCAATGAAATAGTTGTTTTTATTATCGTTTCACATATCAACAATTGACTAATTTGGTAGGCACTTTTTGAATGGACTTGATATTGAATATCGTCAGAAAAATCTTGTTGAATTTATCCCGTGTGCAGCGCGATATAACTGTTACGTAAACTGTCACTCCAGTAGAATATTTTTCCAAAAAATATTTTAGAATCATAGTAGAACAGCTCAACAAGCTCGAACGTCTACGAAACTTTTGCATCCGTTTCATTTATGATCTGAGGAAATTTGATCATGTTTCCATTTATCGCAAGGAGCTGAAGTGGTTGCCCATTACACTTCGCCGGAGTGCTCATATTCTTAATCTTCTTTATGGCATCTTATTCATTCCTCACACACCACCTTATCTTAAGGAGCGATTTGAATTCGCCCATCAATCTAACCCCCGACTTCTGCGCTCTTCTTCAACTCTCCAACTTAAGATGCCATTGCATACCTCCCAGTATTACGACAAGTTCTTTAGTGTTCAGGCTATTCGTTTGTGGAACGCTTTACCTTTGTTTATTCAACAAGCGAAATCATTGAATGTATTCAAAAATATGGTAAAAGAACACTGCCTAACTTTAGTGTGACTGCTTAGTTATTTTTATGTTTTGAAATTTAGTTTTAGAAATTTTATATTTATAGGTGTAAGAATATATAGTAGCTAACGATATTTATATATATGCATTGGTTTTATTATTTATTTATAAATATATGTATATTTGCATTTATTTATCGATTTTTATCTATTGACTAGTAATTCTTCATACAACGTCGTCTTTTTCCTGTGAATTATATAATTACTTCCATCCAAAGGTTGTCTGACAGAATCGCTTAATGCGACAAGACCGCCCATTGTACCACCGCTTATTTTTAATTTAATTGTATTGTATTTGTTTCCTTTTGTGGTGTACAATAAAGAATTTTAGTACTGTATTGTTTTGTAGTACAACTGCCTTCGTGGCCGAACGGTTACCATGCTAGACTGCCACGCAGAGGCCCCGGGTCCAATTGCCTTACCGGGAGAAATATTTGTATGGCGTACATATATTTCTCTCGTGAGCTTGGTTGTAATTTGTGTGTGTCCATGGCACCCGCGATACAGGGTTTCCCTAGTGCGGGGCTATTAGTGTGCGTTATTATTATTATTATTTAATATTATTAATAAAACATCATGATATTCAATAAACAAAGTATTGCAATACATGTTATTATTACAGCTCATCAATTCGCTTTACAACAAGTGGCGTTGCCTTGCCTCCGCTACATGCAAGAACTGATGGCGCCTGTCGCTCCGGCCCCTTCTATCACTTCGGCCGACACAGATCAATCGAAAGATACTAAGGTTTGTTAAATAACTTTATTGCAAATGTATTTAAATATTGTAATCGCCAGTTCACCATTCAATGTGAAAAATGTATCCATTTTTTTTTTTGTCAGGAAAGCGCAGAGAAAACGGCAGCAACACCACAATCTAGTGCCTTCGCGTCTTCAACTGGCAATGTGGTAGTAGATTTAGCGGCGTGGCTGGCAGGTCGTGTGCAGCACAAAGAGTGGCGTCGATTGGTTGCGGTGCGGGAGCCCCCGCCGACAGAGGGCACGCCCTATCCACCGCGGGATAAACATCTCGCGTTCAAGTACCTTGCCAAGTGGCGTGAGCGTGTAAGTTTACAGGAATTACCATAAGTTAAAAAGGAATGTGGAATTGTCCCGTTAATAATGTAACGTGCCAGACAACCACATTAATTGCCTCTTTTAAATTTCCCTGTAAAAACATTGTAAACCATTGGGCTATTGAGATTGTCATACGAGTACTTTCTCTTAACGAGGCTTAATAAAAGTGACATAAGTCTGAAGACTCAACGTAGTGAGACGAAAAATTATGGAAATAAACTTCACCTCTGATTAATTTTATTGTCGTAGATGCTGTTCTCGCACGGCATGCGACCACTGGCCCTCGAAGATGGCGGTTGGCTCCGCCCGGTGATGTTCGACCCAAGCTCTCGCATCGCTCGCGACACAGCCTGTCAGATGATCCGTTCCCTCTGCGATTCTTACGAACGAACCAAAGCGGTGCTCATCTTGCTGACCAGCTTCCTCCCTGCAGTCGGCGCTGCGGGAGAAGCTAGCGAACAGTTCTTGCAGCTTTATCAGAGTAAGCAGCAATACTTTTAGATTCTTGAGTTATGATAAATCAAAAATGTCCAACATAATTTATATACATAATCTATACCCGATTTGTTTAAACAAATTAATCAGGAATTGTGGTGAGTCAATAATAATCGAGTTCTTTATTTTCTCTAGCTTTGGCATCGGAAGCACCTTGGAAACAATTCCTGGCTCTTCGTGGCGTACTGCAACAAATAGCCGATTTGATGACTAAAGAAATTGACCAGCTACATCGTCTAGAAGAAACTACACTTACCTCGGACTTGGCTCAGGGCTACGCTCTGAAGCGTTTAACGGAGCTACTTGCTATGTTTTTGGAAGAGCCCGGTGCGCGCCGCACGTATAAGGGAAGGCTTGTGGGCTGTGTGCTTGGCGGTTACCTGTCTTTGAGACGATTGGTCGTACAGCGCACGAGACTTACTGATGACACACAAGAGAAGCTCTTGGAACTACTTGAAGAGATGACTACAGGTACGACGAACATTATGTTGACCAGTTTACTTTTAACTCGCCATCCTTATAGATCTGTTTCCCTTCTCCTATTCGATGCATTTTCTTCTTTTAGAATAAGTTTGTCTGTGTGTTCAAATCAATTAAGTTCTTTAGATCTATTAACATTAACTGCCTCTGTGGTCGAATGGTTACCATGCCGGACTGCCACCCTGGGCCGGGAGAAATAATTGTATGGCCTACATTTATTTATCTCGTGAATTTGCATGTAATTTGTGGTTTTCATTATTATCTATGACCATCGACTATATAATCAGAAACAGAGACGAAATAAGGGCCATACCTACTACATTCCTGTTAACTCATCAGTGATACATCACTTATAAATATCAACTCTTGTTTGCACTGAAACATAACAACGCCAACAACTAACCTACACACAGGTCAGTTGCTAGCGCTGTTATGGCGTCGCCGTATATTCCAAAAATATTTTATATTTATTGTAATAAAGATAATATTTCTAACAATGGCGTGCTGTTCCATTCGGTGGGAAAAACAGCAATACATCTAATTAAAAAACATACGCAATCACATTTCACCGGTAATTAAATATTAAATATGTAATTAGGGGAAGAGGTCGACCTAGGCGCAGTTACATAGTCCAAATAAAGCAAAAGACCGGTATCGTGTCGTATAAGGAGGTCAAGGAGCTGACTTGTAGGAGAGGACTGATGATGTAATTTTTGAATTTTAGTCCATTATAGCATAGCTCAAGTTAAACTGTACGTTTTGAAGTGAAACAATTGACGACACCAATCAATTGTTTCAAATCATTTGTGCGTCTTGCTTCCACCTAATGCAACTCTCACTACATCATCTCATTCTATTCATTAGGCACGCGTTACTAGTGTTGCACTGAAAAAATCATATTATGTATCGATATTTACAAGTATAATTATTACTGCATAATGATTTATTTAAACAATCAGTAAAGTAAAAAAAATCTACATCTAACCTCGTCGTAGTTAAGTATTGATCCATGAGTTTAATGTATCGATTATATAAGTATGTCAGATTATGCACAATAAACACTATTACCTAATAGATTGTAGAATTCTAGGTATGATTTCGCAGATGACAGAGTTTATAGAGAATCGTTTATTTTTATTGCTCAAGAAAATTGTTTTTGTTTGAGAGTACATTTATATATTTAACATCTTATGGCCGTGTGGTGCTGGCCTAGAATAATACCATCCCTTTTTTTACATATTTTCGCCATGAAAACATTACGCTCCTTTGTTTGGTCAGTCGTGCAAAATAACAGGTAATAGTTATTTATAAAGCCATATACAGGCTGTATATTTGAAAGTGGGACATACTTATAGAGTGCGTTATATTCCTGATTCTGAACCCAAAGAAATAATAAACTAATGAACTTAAACTTTACAAAAAATATTTTTTAAATTTTTTTATCGACTACTACTTGAGAACAACATTAGTTATCGAAATCTATGCACATCACTATTATTGTTGGTCCGACGCAGCGGCGGGTGGCGGCATGGCGGTGAAAAACAAAGCACAGGTCGGGGTTGGGGGCGCGGGCGCATACGCGAAATTGCTCAGTGCACGAAGACACGTAAATTAACACGTAAATTAACACGTAAATTAACACGTAAATTATTTGTACTTCCGCTCGCCCGATCGCCTCAAATCGGAGTTTACGCGGAGGAGGTGAACAGTGTCGAAGTGTTGCGTGAGAGGATTATCTCAGCATTTTATACTGTGAAATAAAATGTGTTTGTGTTGTACAATTTAAAACAAAATTTATTATGCCGTGCTAGACTACGCATTGTGGAAAACGGTGGACATTTTGAACACTTGCCTAGTGTCACGTATGTGCAATAAACTGTAAATAACTAAAAAATCAATCATAAATAATTTGAGTTCACATTTTTAACTACGCCAAAAACCTCAATTCTTATTAAATGATAACTAGTTACTAAATCATAAACTTTCATACAATATAAAACTTTTTACAATAAGATTCCGGAGCATATATTAAGTTTATCATTTCCTAAGTTTAAAAACTACATTAAAAATATTTTGATCGAAAAATCATATTACAAAATTGAAGACTACGTGTTAGATAAAGATGTATGGAAAGACGACATGGCTTCAGAATCCACACAAATTTGATTCAAAGTGTATTCCATAGCATTTAAGTTTATTTGAAAAGAGCAATCCCTAGAGTTTTTTGCTCGTTCTTCTCAGGGAGGTCAGCGTAGTGAACGAGCAGTAGCTTAAATGTGACGTTTTCAAGTGTAAATTTATTTTACCTATGGAATAAATCATCTTTGACTTGACTTTGACTTCTTTTTTAGTACGTAAAACATTTCCACAAAAAAAATAATTAACATAAGCTAAAACGTAAATGTGAAATCATTGTTATTGTTGCTGTCTCACTCGGCGCTCGGTTGGTAGTATTCCCATTGCACTCGAAATCAAGCATAAAGGGAAACGGTTTATTCCTATGTACACTTCAAAACACATTTGTTGATTTATTTTTTGGTCTATCCCATATCCTAATTTTATTTTAGTCTATGTTAAGTTGTTTAGTCTATGTTAAGTAACATGATTTACTATGACATGTATGAATATGTGTCACTTTCAAATATACAGCCTGTATATAAATAATTAAAAATTAAATTTATAATGCCATATAAATATCTTGACTTCTATTTCGATAATATAATATTTACTTGTCCAACTCTAATGTATATTTCGAATTCGGGCTGGCCAATTGGAACGCAGTAGTCACCAGTTGTCATTTGGCAGAATAGTTTTCAAACAAAATAAATGACATTTCGTCGATATTTCTGGTTGTGTATTCGATGTATATGACGAACGCAGAATGTATAAAAATCGAGTATAGAGTAGTTTATTTATTTAGTGACGTGTTGAGATAATTAAACGATTTTTATTATTTATCGAGTTCTTAGATTTTCGACAGTGACCATGGGACCTGTAAAGGGCCCGAAAAGTTGGTTTTTTTGAAAAAACAAACATGCGCGATTTAAATCCGGAAAAATAGTTTCATTTCCGATTTTTATTACTTTTCAATATTTTTATTATTATTCGATCCATTTCCATGACAGGAACCGAGACAGAAACAGCAGAGTTCATGGCGGTCTGTATCGAGACTGTACAGAAATACCCGCTGCACGACTACCGCACACCGGTGTTTATCTTCGAGCGGCTATGTTCCATTATCTATCCGGAGGAAAACGATGTCGGCGAGTTCTTCCTAACGCTTGAGAAGGACCCGCAACAGGAAGATTTCCTTCAGGTTTGTTTTTAACAGGAGATATATGCCGTCGCTTACACTTCTGATATTTATAATCAGACTTCTGTACTACCATGTCAAATTTAAGGTGGCTTCTTATGTACAGAGATTACACAAAAGTTTCTCCGAAATAGGAAGATGTTATTTTAACTCTTTTCGGTTACAGGGTCGTATGTTAGGCAACCCTTATTCGTCGTTAGAGCCCGGCATGGGCCCTTTGATGCGCGATGTGAAAAACAAGATCTGCACCGACTGCGAACTTGTCGCGCTGCTAGAAGACGACAATGGGATGGAGTTGCTCGTTTGTAACAAAATCATGTCACTCGATCTTCCTGTCAAGGAAGTTTATAAGAAGGTATTGTTTTGTTTATTTGTGATATTTTTTGAAATATTCTATGGGTGTTAGGTTACGATAAGTTTTTTATTTATTAGACCGTTAGATATATGAAAATCGTTAGCTTTTAAAGACCAATTGTTTAAAAATTATTTTTTCTAATACCTGAGATTTATCATACAAATCCAGTAGCACATCAAATTAACTTTCCACCGTTTTTAGGTATGGTGTACATCGGGCGAAGGCGTGGACGCCATGCGCGTGGTTTACCGCATGCGAGGATTACTCGGCGACGCCACTGAAGAATTTGTCGAAACGCTTAGCCAAACCAATGCGGAGGCGGTCGACGATGAACAGGTGTATCGCATGGCTAACGTCCTTGCTGATTGTGGTGAGTATTTATGTTTATGTCACATCCTAAATGAAAGACATCATCCCCTATCAGTGAAAGCACGAGTGCGTGAGTTCGTGTTCTCTTCTAGTTAGTATGGGACTGGACATATACATAATGAATGAGCTAGTACCGCATGATAATCGTTACGATTGTAGCCCGCACATTGTGAATGGGACGTTTACGAACTAGTTTTATATGCAACCGTTTGGATCTCATATATAATTCAGGCCTCAGCGCCCACTCCATTCTCAAAGTGGTCTCCACTAAGTAACAGCACAGAAAGTAGATTCTGAGATTGTAGCGTCGAAACTACCAGCATCTTAGGTACCATGTCGAGGAGACCCGTTTTCATCTATTTATATTATTCATTTATTTGATTATAGACAAGCAACTTTCGCTGATATGAAATTTATATCGTTTGTTTTAGTTCACTTTCTTAGCACTAAATCACTCTTTCGTAGCCAGTTGTCGAGCTTGTTTTGAAGGCATTAACAGAGACAGCAGAAACAACATCTTCCGGTAGCATGTGTTAATTATGTACCACTCTGTTGCTGAAAAAATTGTGTTAGCAAAAAAGCAAAAAAGCAGGAGTTTCGGAAGGTGCACGAACTAGTTTGAGATGGTGGCTACGTGATGTTTTAAAGTTTTGTATTAGTTGTGTTTTTTGTTAGTTCCTTTGCGTGAAATAATGAATAAATAATCAACGAAACGTCTCGTGTGCCCAGGCGGACTAGAGGTGATGCTGCAGCGATTGGCCGCTATCCAGCGCGTGGGGGCGGCCCGAGCCCTGTGCTCGACGCTGCTCCGCCTGCTGGCGCTGTGCACGCGCGTGCGCCGCGGCGTGCGCGTGCTGACGCGCGCCGAGACGCGCGCGCTGCCCGTGCTGTTGCACGCGCTGCATCTCGCCGCGCAGGAGGAACGAGACATGCCCCGAGCTGAGCTTGTCTATCAACTTTTGGAGGTATGTTTATGTTCCAATCCCTGTGGCGAAAGATTGATGTACACCCTACCCTGTATTATGTACACCCAACCCTGTGTATATACCCTATAATTTTAATATCTATATTACTCACATATCAATAACTCTCGCTAACGGTGAAGAAAAACATCGTGACCGACGTCGATAAGTTGACAATGAGTAATGACTGCGCTTGCATCAAGTATATAATTCTTTATACAACCAAAATATGGCGCATAAAAAGAACCTACCCTTTGTCGTTATAGATTGATGTTTTCTTGTTTATAGATCATGGAACGCATTCTCTCCGTGGCAGCAAGTGAGAGCCTCGAATCATTCCTGCAGTTCTCACTAACTTTCGGAGGTCCCGAATACGTTCAAGCTCTGCTCAACTGCACGGAATGTCCAGGTCAATAACAGATCAATAAATGAAATGTTAAGCCATGGCATGGATCAATAACACAAAAGGACTACTAATCGCGATACAAGAAAGCGTAGTTGGGTATTTAGTACCTATTGGTAAACCAAATGTCGCAACGAGTACCAAATAGCTATTTTTGTAAATAAGTTATTTTACATTGACGAGCTGCAATTTATCAAAGCTTATACTAATTTATAGTGATAATAAATAAATCACCTAGATAGCGCTTGTTGCAGATTTTATGGAAATATCCATAAAATCCGACTAGCCGACTAATCTTTATTTTATTTAGGACTACCCATTTATTATTACTTTTTAAATAATAACGCAAACACTCAACATAGCCCCGCATTAGGGAATCCCTGTGTCACGAGTACCATGGAGCACACATAAGACAAATGACACCCAATCTCACGAGAGAAATAAATGAAGGCTTTAAAATATTTTTCCCGGCCCGGGAATGGAACCTGGGACCTCTGCGTGGAAGTCCGGCCGTATGGTAACCGTTCCTCCACACAGGCAGTTGGGATTATTAGGAAACGTTAATGTATGAATTAGTTTGTGACACACATTGCCATCTACTTTCACACACAATATTGTCAAAGTTCTAAAAATAATTTTGGCTCATGATCGATATTTAAATAATATGTAAAGAAAAAATAGACTTCTTATATTTCTTAGGAATTAATTGATATCCACGGCTAAACTACTTCCAGGTTATTGATTAGCGCCATGTATAGGATAAGACGGAATCGTGACCTTTTTCAGAGCTACGATCTGTAGTAAAGAGATTAGCAGTCCTTTTGAGTTGATCTATGGCTATGTTTTATCTTTCTACTCATTTTACAAATCCGTAAATCAAACTATTATTACCAGTTTTTTTTTACCAAGGCTGAATTTCTTTTACATACAGGAATCCGTAACAACTCAGTAGCTCTGGGCCACCTAACCCGCGTCCTAGCAGCTTTAGTATACGGCAATGATCTCAAGATGGCCATGCTGGTCGACCACTTTAAGCCCGTATTAGACTTCGACCGCTTGGATTCGGAGCAATGGACCGAGGAAGAGTTCCGCATGGAACTATTCTGTGTACTCTGCGCCAATATCGAGAGAAATTCAATAGGTGGCACGCTCAAGGATTACCTTATATCGCTTGGGGTTGTTCGTGACGCTTTGGATTATATTCAGGTGAGTGGGGTGCTTGTGGCATTGTTCTAGGAACTTAACAATGGTCGGAAAAAGGTGTTCCACATGTACAGATACATGTATAAATATAGCTCCAAGGATCGATATAGAGCTGTTAAAACCACCAAATTCATCAACTACTTTTTTCCGGATTTCCGAAAATGGTTTTACTGCATCGTAGGGCAAAACTACTTACCGAGGAAGTTGGAGTTGGATTTTAAAGTAACTCTAATAGTATCATCTAAAGAAGTGTAGTGGATAACAGACCTTTCACCAAAGCAGAGAATAAAAAAGTTACGAGAATGGTCACTCTTCCCCCCTCCCTAACTTTAGATACCGCACCGCGCCCCGCACATTGACGGTCACATTGATGGAACAGCAAACAGGCTGTCAGGGAGCCATTCGCTAAGGACAACACATTGATGTTTAAACTAAAATTTATTTATTACGAACGTACCTTTACTATTGTTATGATGATCGTAAATTGTGCCATTGTGAATTTGGTGTAATTTTTTGTGTAAGAACATACTTAATTGCAAATTTCGATTCAGAAACTCTGTTTAGACGAAAAAGAGGCATCTTCACACAAAACACACCTTGCAATCCTATGGATTTACGATTCGATTTTTGTGTTTAAACCGATTTAAACCCAGATTAACCAAGCGCCGAGTTAAAACCCGGGCTCTTGCCCATCTCAGGCTGTATTTGCCTAGACAGTTTTTTATATCCAGGAGTAACACAAACTCAAATAAATCTTTTTGTCATAGGTAAGCAAATGACACTTGAAATCGTCGTCATTGTATAAATTCAACTACTGATTCGTAAGGCAGATTCCCCTGATAATAATGAGTAAGAAACTCAAGGGGTTACTCTTTGTAAATAAACATTTGCATGCAAATGATAAATGTATTTACATCATTTATTTTAAATATTATAAATGAAAATAACCTGTGAGAGCTAACTACCTTGGATTTTTGTCCTTTAGTGGAAACTTTTTATTTCATTCTAGTTTTAAACCTTAAAACAATATAAACTTCAAACCACACGATTTACTCCTAGAATTGGTTTTAAAAATGTATTTTTTAAGAATTTTTACAATAAATGTTTTGTCAATAAAGAATTTAACACGACGCTTTTTTCCATTTAGAAACACGCACCTTGTGTGAAACCAACTCTAGTCCTAACTGATTCCGACGAACTGAAGGAGTTTATCAGCCGCCCCGCGCTCAAATACATCCTGCGCTTCCTTACCGGGCTCGCTACTGACCATGAGCCTACCCAGGTAAATTTATTTATAAAAATATTAGAAGCGTTTTACCTACCAATAAAACGCATATTTATTTATTTATTCTCTTCGAATCTTTAGCATGCATGAGATAGCGGTCACCTATTCTCGCCCCTACGTCCATCTCTTTCTACCGTAGCGACAGCGTTTTCTCAATTTTCCTACTATTACCTATACTAATTGAGTACGCTTTCAATGTGCGTTATTGGTAGATAATACGATTTTATTTATTTGACCTGACCGCTACTTGAATTCTTTTTTTTTAATAATATCAAGTGACGGGACGAAAAAGTCGTGCGCCTGATGGTGAGCTACACGCCTACCCATAACAGTTGCAGTGCCTCTCAGAGCTTTAAATCGCAAAGGTCTGAGGGGCACTGCCACTGCGCCCGTCACTTGAGACATAAGTTGACAAGTCCCTGTGCCTGTAATTTCACCTGTGATCTCTTCTGCTACTAATTCAAATTAATATTGCAAATTTGAATAAATAGTAATTAAAAATAATTAGCAATAACGTTAATACTACTTGTAAATACTACATAACAAAATATAAGAATAAGTATTATGGGATCGACTTCTTTGTCATTGAAGGGGCCCCAAACAACACGTTAAATGCCCTGCAACAAGTACTCGTACTAGATAGCGGGCTCTACTAATTGTAACTTCCATACAGATGCTAGTATGCGAGAAAGTAATTCCAATCGTGCACCGTCTGGAGCAAGTGTCTTCGGGCGAACACGTCGGGTCACTAGCTGAGAACCTTCTGGAAGCGCTCCGTTCACAGCCGCAGTGTGCCGCCAAGGTGCAGCAAGTCCGCGATTTTACTCGACAGGTTTGTATAGAAATTGTACTAAATTACCACTTGGTTAATAAAATAATTTAACATATAGAACACAAATCCGTCTTAAATTGACGTTGACGTCAGAAATTGTTTCCACAAATATCACATATCTTCGATGTTTTTGAAAGACAATTCGCTTTTGGTTCTACCCCCGGCCCGTACTAATTACAGACAAAACTAGTTTAGGTTAGCCAGCAATAATTGGAACCTTTAAGGCTGCCTTTCCACCAAAAGGATTAGCGGAGCTAAGTATTCGTACATACAAAATAGCGGGAAATGTGTGCGAGGGATGCGGGCGAGGAATGTGTGCAAAACGGTGTAGGAAACTGGAGCTACTGAAAGTATGACACTAACTGACACTGTCATATAGCCACCGCTCACGCCACCACACCGTACTCCGCCCGCGCATAGCTAAAAAGAGTTCGTAACGCATCCTTGCACAGCTTTGGTGGAAAATGTCACACCGTTTCAGAGCGCCGCTACACATCCTCGCACCGCCTCGCTACCTCTCACATCTCTGGTGGAAAGGCAGCCTTACTTGGTACTTGGTGTAACGGGCTGGTGTCCGCAACTCGACGACAAATCGCCTATTTTGTGTGTGAAAGGCAGCCTTAATCTGGGTCTTTTTAATATGAGTTGGATTTCGTCAAGGAGAGCACTAAGTGGGCATTTCTTTGGCTCATAATGAGGCTTACAACTGCGGTTGTCTTTTTATGTAACAGGCTAATTAAATTGTGTACTAAGCTTCACCTGGCACTAGCCTTTTGAGAACCGGATGAAGTCCTACCTTCAGTTTATTATTTTATTTAGTTTTAAGTTCTTCGATATATTCTTATTAAATAAATATATAAATAAATAATTGTAAGAATTTGTAACGCCTAGAAAGTATAGTGCAACCTATAATTCAAAATTGGACAACAGGAAAAGAAACGCCTCGCCATGGCAGTCCGAGAACGACAACTTGGCGCATTAGGTATGAGAAGCAACGAGCGTGGACAGGTGACGGCGCAGTGCTCTTTGACGCAGCAGGTTGCAGACCTCGCCGAGGAGGCGGGAGCTGTATGCTGCATCTGTCGCGAGGGGTACAAATATCAGCCTACCAAGGTAAGCGTGGGTACTAGATGGGTTATTACCTGGTACTTTGATATTACTATAGTTTGTGTTTTTTTCAATACGGAGTAAAATGCTTGGACTGTGCAAACCAAAGGACATGTTATGTTGACATATATAAATCAGACGTTATATGTATATGACGCATTTCGACGTTGGAAACATAAACATGTTTATTTTTAATAATAAATAATAAAAAATAATAAATTTTTATTAAGTATTAATAAAAATTCGTTGCTGCAGCATTATATACAGACACGTGTTATTTTTCTGTCTACAAATCACACAAAAGCCCAAATATCTCATGTATTTGTTCATAAATCTTGCCAAATCTTGCTTTGGTTTCTTCAGATTGCCTGTTTGTTTGTATATTTTGATGATTATTGTTAACGATTATTTTGACATAGTGTTGTTCTTGGAAGCGTATATATTATCGATATTCTGTTATTAAAATAATTCACTAAGAGGTTTTTATTATTTTATTTTTATTATTTCAAGTTTACCTGCAAATGAAAAAGAAAGTGGGTTGGAAATCGTAGAACTGCCAAATATAAACATTGAATCAAAGACCATCTTCAATTATTCGCTTCATTTTGAAGAGTCATATTTTTCAGAACAGAACTTTGAATGTAACTAGATTACATGATAATGCAATTCCGTCATTAGGTTTATTGGTAAATAATTTTATATTTAACTTAGAAGTAAACAAAAAAAAACAAAAGAAAACAAAATTATCCACTCGTTTTCAATTTTTTCCCACTGACAACCAAACTACTAAAAATTCTTATTTTATAAAGCCAGCAATACAATGACCATGTTGGTCCAACGTTGCCGGGTGCGTTTTGACGCAGTGTGTCAGAAACGCAAAATGCCAAACAGGCAGAATGTCAGATTCACAGAAACCAACGTATAGACAGCCTATTTGCCTTGCCTTGCCATCGTTTGGTGTCACTCGCCTAGCTGACCGAGTGAAGGCGAACGCTAACGTATGTAGAGCTCGTTTGGCATGGCTTATCACAAATCGCAGTCAGCGACTACTTGTATCACTTCGGAGAAGTGTCGATTTTTCTGCATAAATATAAGGCGCTCGGCCAAAGTAGTCAATTGACATTATATACTCGGACATTTGCATGCTATTTAATATATGCGAAACATGTTTATACTAACACTGTCTCTTGATACATCTCATGTTATACCATGTTTTAAGCAAATAAATGTATGATAATAATATTATTATTAATATTATTATTGATAATATTACTAATTTTATTTATTAAATGGAAGTATTAAAGATTCACTTAAATCAGTCACCGATATTAATTCTATACCAATGCATAAATACAAAAAAGCTTACACTATTTGGAAACTGTTTTTAAATTCATCTATGAAATTATGAATCTTGAGGTTGGAAATGTATAGGAGATCTCCTGATTTATATTTCAAGGTTTTCTTTTTTTTTATAAACCCTCATATTACATTTTTCTGTGCAAATTCACTTTTCGTAATATTTGAGTATTGTAAACGCAAAACTATAAATTCAAAATTTCATGTGACATTCCCATATATAATATTCCCAAATGGATCTGCTTTAATTAAATGTTTGCTCGTGAAATGACCTATCGATAGATATTGGTACGACACTAAAGAAATCCGCCATTTGTTCGTTCAATTTTTGTTTAGGTATGCACGTTCATTCCGTAGTTAGGGCAGCTCCTTTCTTTTATTTTTTTTCCATAAGGTAAAATGACAGCTCATTGCGCAAAACTGTCAAAAGCGTTCAAGCAGCTATTGATTGCAATCGATAAATTTTCTATGGACTAAATATTGTTTACGCTTACGTACTGTTTGGTAATTTGCCGAAAATTTCATATAGTGGAAAGTTTTCTGGAAAATTTTCCAATAAAATGTAATAATTGGAAAAATATAATTCGAAGGTTCATTATAATGTTCTACGTTTAGATATGACTTTTTGGCTAAAAGCAAGTTAAAGTAAAACGAAATTTAAAATCATTGGACAACAGCGAAAAAAAATCATAGGCAAAAAAATCTTTATAATGGGTTCGTTCAGTATCTCCAACTTTGGTCAGGTGTCAAATGTGGAAAAATATAGGTAAAATATTCGGAAAAATAATGTATTTTTCTGATAAATACGTACTTTTCAATTTTTTTTTGACCCAACACTACGCTTACGCAATAAATAGGAGAACTAGTTTCATATGCAGGCATACAAATTTTATTAAAATCCATCCAGGTTTACACTTATCTAAACTAATTAATGAAAATTTGAATAGGGAAAATCACTGCTTCACAGAGATTTGCTCGAGCAATTTTAATAGGCGTTTAATCGTTTGGAAATAAAAACTATTTGTTTTTCGAATTTAAATTTCGTATATTTGTTTTTACAAAACAAACCAACGTTTCGTGTCCTTCATGGATCGCGTGGTTACGACTGACTACTAAGAAGTAATTGTACGCGATTTACATCCAAAAAAATAGTTTCATTTCAAATGTGTAACAATCGCGAAAACCTAAAAACTCGGTTGTTTACTAATATTCCCATAGCTTTAAAATCTTCTTTACTTTCAACACTTTACCAAATTAATTAACACTACTTACACGCAGGTGCTGGGCATCTACACGTTCACAAAGCGGTGCCCTGTGGAGGAGTATGAGGTGCGCGCACGCAAGACGCTCGGCTACACTACTGTCTCTCACTACAACATAGTGCACGTCGAGTGCCACATGGCCGCTGTCAGGCTTGCTCGTGCCAGGTTAGAAACAAGATAAATAAATTAAGTTTGATGCGCCTGTAGCGCACCTAGACGCGTACATACCGTATAATAATATGTGCATGCATTGAATAAATATGATGCATTATGTGCATTGAAATAATATGTGGAAATCGACATAGCCAACGATTTCGTGACAGCAAGTTCTGAAATTGCTACGTTATTGTAGAGACGAATGGGAGAGCGCTGCACTGCAAAATGCATCTACGAAGTGCAATGGCCTGCTGCCGCTGTGGGGTCCTCACGTGCCGGAGTCCGCGTACGCTAGCTGCCTCGCTCGACATACCACCTACCTGCAGGTTTGTATTCATGCCCATATCGATTTCAAGTTAACTGCCTCCGTGGCCGAACGGTTATCTGCTGGACTGCCACCCAGGTACCTGATTCGATTCCCGGGCCGGGAGAAATATTTGTATAGTCTACATTTATTTCTCTCGTGAGTTTGGGTGTTATTTGTTGTTATCTATGTGTGTGTCCATGGCACCCGCGATACAAGGTTTCCCTAGTGCGGGGCTATGTTGAGTGTGTGCTTTATTATTATTATTCTATTCCTTTCAATCAAATCCCATTCGGCTTGGCACATCAAGTGTAGGAAAAACTTCTTGAAATTTCAAACAGTTTCTGGACTTTGTTTTTGCCTGACCAATGGTCCTACACTTCTATAATCGTGTATTGTTTTGTACTAGGAATGCACAGGGCATCGTGACATCGGCCACACGTGCACGATCCATGACCTGAAATTGCTGCTGCAGCGATTCGCACGCGGGCGCACCTTTCACGACGACACGGGCGGCGGTGGACCGCTGTCTAATATGCAGCTCGTGCCGGCGCTCATTCATATGGCACTCTATGTCATCAATACGTGAGTATGAGCTAATTGTGATGCGAGGCAATTGACTATAAAAATCATAGTTCACATTTTGAAATAGTTTGTGTTTTTTAAGAAAATCAAGGTCATTAATACATATCTACAAATACATGTAACGGTAAGTGCAGAAAATCTTGTTTTGAAGTCGCACCATAGTGGTGCACTTACATTGGATCGACAGGTAGCCCTCCGAAGGTGTCAACCTACCCAGTGTAAACACTGAGTCGTTTAACAACCGTAGTACGCTGCTGAAATTTAGGTATAATCACTGTCAGGCGTCTCGGTTACCTTCGTCAAGCGACGTTCGATCAAATAAGTTTCAAGTCTATGGCCGCGTCACACGATGCGTGTGCTGGGGACTGCTGAATAGGTATTCCCCAGCTTGGTGAATGTTTCGGACGATTTGTTGTATGTGTGTGTGTAAAGTTGTATTTATAAAGATTTGATGATTTTGGCGAAGACGGTAGTCGACTTTGTGAAACAACGTACTCTGTTGGAAAATTTCAATTACTTTTTCCGTTTTTTTTTTCAGTTACTTCACCTTTTGACAAGTGTTAACGTCAAATTTTAATGTGGAACATTAAAGGAAAAATATTTATTTTTGTGAAAAACATGATTTTTTCGCCTTCGTCAGTCGAATTCGCTTGTCGAAGGAGCGGTTCTCGATTTGGTTTAAATACGCCATAAAAACCGCAGGACCCGCGTGGCGGCCCGTGAGGTGACGGCGCTGGAGGCGTCTCTTGCATGGGCACCGCCGCGCGTACTTGAGTCCGCCCATGACGCAGAAAGCCCGCTCTACTTCATCACGCTCATGTTGCTACTCTATCCTCACGCCAAGTAAGTATTAATAGATTTTCAACTATTCTATATTATATATTCTATTCACAACACCAGTGTTCAATTACAGTTTGTCGTGAAGAATTTTCCGGTACTGCAATCTGATATTAAGTACCATAAAAAATTGCTTATTATAACCTAATCCATTTGAAAAAAAAATTAAACGAAACTGTTTGATTCAAATTCTAAAGCAATCACTCAATAAACCGAATAGAGTAACGAGTAACACTTTCACGCATATTTCGAAGATTTCGACTTTGATATCTCTTCAATTTTTCCAACAATATTCATTTGAATAGCATCCTAAAATTGTATTTGAAAAATGGGAATCCAAAAGTGAGGGTATTTTTCAGTTATACATCTATGACTTGTCTATGGTACCATAGTGTTGACGAAAAGAAACATTCGGTTCATTCAATTAAAGTTTTTGTAATCGACTAGTAAATCGAAAATTTCATTCGCAATCGAACAAGTATCTAAGTATTTTAAATTAACTTTTATAGGATATGTAAGGAAAACCAATAGTATGATTCAATTAAGCAAATCGCTTCATTCAATTAATTAGTCGATTTGTAGTTGAAATTACAATTGGCTATCACTAAACCGTCTATGGTCGGGTCAGTGATTTGTTTGTTTACTTTTTGTTTAAAACGCATTGAAAAGAAGTGTAGTATCCCTGGTGATAATCACACGTTTTCCTTCCCATTGCTAGAATACATTTAAATAATGTAAATTGTTATGATTAGATGGCGTTCATTGAAAGTGGACATGCTTGAGCGTCTTCTGATAATCGGGCACGTGCGCGCGGCGGCGCCGGGCGGGCCGGCGATGCGCGCGTTGCCCGCCGACCACCGCCAGGTCAAACCCTGGGCGGATTACAAACCCTACGCGCTCTTCGTCGCCATTATCGACCAGCTCTACAATGTTATGTTTAAGGTGAGCATCATACTCATTCATATTATTTGCCGTCTAATACTAAGGATGCAATCCCAGGCCGCCTATACTGCGTTATTTATAAAGTACTAACAACCTCACGGCAGAATATTTACTAATGTCATAAACAACTTTTGTTCCGTGACTTTTAATAATTCATCAGATTATGGTGATGATTTAGAGATGGATATATTTGGTTGTCATTTTAAAGGACTTGGCAATCGAAACCACAAGCATCACAGTTTCTCTCTTTCATGGTTATAGTAATTCTGTTTTATTTAAGGTTACAGTTTTATTATGTCTACGTACGTTTTATTAATACACTTCCGGATACAATTCGAGCCACCACGCATTTGCAGTATTACGTGCCATAAGCTTAAACAATGTTTGAATGATCAAAAACTATTACGCAAATTTGAAATTAGTATATTAAACGTCTTTTCCATAAGTCCTTGTTGGGAATTTGGATATGCAAAACTGGGGGAAAACTTTTTGTGATAACACCAATTTGTATTCTAGCCCTTTACGGCAAAAATTTAAGGGGCTCGAATTATATTTAGTGTCTGGGGGTGTATATTGTAACAAAATTGTTTACTTATGTTTGGTCATGCTGTATGTACATGTTTAGGTTTACATTCTAGGACTAAAACTAGCAATAATGTTTAAGCTTTTGTTAAAGAGTGAATATAAACTGTTTTTTGAATCTAATAAATAAATAAATTATCTTTCGTACAAAACATGAAAATACAAAAATTACAAAATTTAAATAAATCACTCTAAAAGGTGATGACTCTCTTACGGTAGCAAAAGAAAGCACGCGAGAGGCGTTGTTAAACAAATTACTACAAGTGTTTGTAGATCTAAAAAATGACAGATAGTACAGCAAAACTCAAAAGTTTATTTTGGTAAATTTATTATGTCTTGTAAAAGGTCATGGAACAAAAGTTGTTATTTATGATATTAGTAATACAGTCCTCCGAGGTTGTTAGTATTTTACAAACGACCTTGTATGGACTGGTTCCATGTGATCATCACTGGTGATGATCACCTGGTTAGGTCTATCTAATGGAGACGTGTCATACACATACCGTTGTCTGCCAGCTTTTGGTGACCAATCGACAACCTTGAATGTAGTTGACGCCCTTTTCCTCTTGCATAAAACTGCAGTACTTTTATTATTGATGCAAAGATCGAAGGAAATAAAGAAAAAATCCTTCCATCTAAACGGACTCGAGCCAGCCACTGCTGCCGTGCCGGGACAAGCAAGCACATAAGGAATTCGTAAGATCTGCTGATTTAGTCTGTTGCCCAGTTTAGTAGCAGTAGAGCTCCTTGTGAAAGAGATCGTCCAGGGCACTACTGCCGCATTACCCATTTCCGCCGCCAAGCAGTAATGTCAGCATGACTGTGTTCCAGTTTTGAAGGGTAAAAGGGTGCTGGTGATATTACAGGCACATGGGGCTTGTTAACTTATGCCTCAAGGTGACGGGTGCAGTGCCCCTCAGATTTGATTTATGCAACTGTATGAACAGGCGTGTAGCTTACCATCGGGCGCACGACTTGCTCGTCCAGTCACTTGATATTGTAAAAAAATCTCTATATCTCTATATCTATATATAGCTATCTATTGTAAAGTTAAAAGTGCTGGCCCCGGCATGGCAACACACTGGTTTGAGTTTAGTCAGGCTGAAGGAAGTTTTCTTTGTGTAGTTCAGAGTTTGTGTCAATAATACAAACTGGTGGAGTATAAACTATATATGGTAGTAAAACAGTAAAAAATATCGCAATACTATTTAATATTTACATTTTTTTTTTGTAAAAATAATTATACTGTTTTTATTGGGCTGGCCACATACAGTCGGAATACCAGACAAATAACGGACTTATCATTATCACCAATAATCGGAATAAGAGTTTATTTACCTAAACTTCGAGGAACAGAAACAGAAAGTGGAGACTGCCTTGCGACTACATTTTTTGTCCCGGATTTTTTCAACGGAAATTTTTTGCAGCGATTTGCAGGAACCTCCAATTTTCCAGAATATATTGGACAATTCCGACAAAAAATATTCAACATTTTTTATAAATATGCTCTACCTACCTATCCCAAATAACGTCAATTTTTAAAGTACTTCCGTGATTAAAAGAAAATCCGAGACAAACAAATATAGTCGTAAGACAGTCTCCACTTTCTGTCACAGAAAGTCTCTGTTTATCGAAGTTTAGGTAAAAAATCTCTACCTCTATTTTGTTTCGTAAGAAATTTTTCTGACTCGAAATTCCGTTTGTGCATTCGGAATTCCGCACGGAAAAAGTCGTTCTGAATGCAAGTATTTCTTAGATTTTGCAGGGCCACAATACAGTCGTAAATTCGCGAGAACATCTTGACTTAATGCCTCGCGTTTCTCAGCTGATTCTATATCTGATGTTATACCGAACGGAAATAATCGTATGTGTGTGATGTATAATATCTCTTATTGTGTGATTGATAATCCCGAATCGATATTCCGAAACGGAATTCCGACTGTATGTGGCCGGCCTTAGTGATTAAAGTATATTGAATTGAAAAAACTAAGTAGCTCTTATCCCCACAGAACGTCAGTGCAACAGCAGTAGACCAATGGCCGATCAAATTGGCAGAGTACATTAGACACAACGACGAAGCTAACGCAAAGGCAGCTGAGAAGATAGTCACGACTCTCACTGATGAGCTTCTTCCTTGCGCTTCCTTCGCCGAGTTTTGCGATGCAGCTGGCTTTCTCGAAGACATCCCTGAACCCGACGCGTTCCTACAAGTCCTCGTTGAAGAACAACCTTGATTATGGCCTTCTCCGCCTCAGTGCCTCGGCTACAATAGCTGTACGGCCTCATAGAACTTTTTGTGCTAACAAATTGTTTCGTATTACTTTACACAGACACGGATCGTTTTGAAGTGCACTACAGCCCTAAGAAAGCTCCTGGTAGAATAAGTTAGAATTTGTTCAATTTTCTACCACATTCATGTGAGCCTTACCGTGATATATTACACACCCTTTACGTCATCATTGGGCTAATTACGTCAAATTCCTTTCACTTTATTAGGCCAATGCTTATAATAATTATGTCAATAAATATTATATGCAATAAACAATACCCATTTAAATTTCAAATATTCTATTTTATCTAATTTAATATAAATGTAATAGATTTGTTTCGGTGCTTGAATTGTATCGGCTTTTGTGTTTATTTTAATAAATATTATGTTTCTGCTTTACTGGTGTCTTTATTCATGTGTACATTGCAAACCGTTGGGTCATGTTAGAAATGGTCAATACATGTTATTTTTGTTTTATTACAATACAGGGTGTCCCGGGACGCGACGTCAAGCCGGAACGGGGTGATAGGCCAGGTCATAACTGTTATCAGAAAAATAAAAAATAAAATCTATGTCATGTATTTTAAAAATTATGACCATTTTGAAAAAAATCGAAAAATATACACCCTGTGACGCATTTTCACTTCCCGTTTCTACAAATTTCCACTTTATTTTAATTTTTTTATTATTTTGTAACCCTGAGTAATGCTCCTGTAGCTAGTCGTCTAAAATTTTGACACAACTGCTCTAATTTTGAAAAAAAAATGACACATTAATGGGAATAATGTTGTATTGCAGCTGAAGGAAAGCATTTTGAACATTTGCTGTAATTTAA